ATCAAACTACCACTGACATTTTTCACAGAGCTAGAACAAAAAATTTTGCAATTTGTATGGAAACACAAAAGACCCCGAAGAGCCAAAGCAACCTTGAGAACGAAAAATGGAGCTGGAGTGATCAGGCTCCCTGTCTTCAGAGTTTACTATAAAGTTACAGTAATCAAGACAGTATGGTGCTGGCACAAAAACAGAAATATAGATCAATGGAACCGGATAGAAAGCCCAGAGACAAACCCACGCACATATGGTCACCTTATATTTGATAAAGGAGGCAGGACTGTACAGTGGAGAAAGGACAGCCTCTTCAATAAGTGGTGCTGGAAAAACTGGACACGTACATGTAAATGTATGAGATTAGAACACTCCTTAATACCATACACATAAATAAGCCCAAAATGGATTATAGACCTAAATGTAAGGCCAGAAGCTTTCAAATTCTTAGAGAAAAGCATAGGCAGAACACAAGATCCTTTTTGACCCACCTCCTAGAGAAATGGAAATGAAAACAAAAATAAACAAATGGGACCTAATGAAACTTCAAAGCTTCTGCACAGCTAATGAAACCATAAACAAGACTAAAAGAGAACCCTCAGAATGGGAGAAAATATTTGCAAATGAATCAACTGACAAAGGATTAATCTCCAAAATTTACAAGCAGCTCAATAACAAAAAAACACACAACCGAATCCAAAAATTGGCAGAAGACGTAAATAGACATTTCTCCAAAGAAGATATACAGATTGCCAACAAACGCATGAAAGAATGCTCAACATCATTACTCATTAGAGAAATGCAAATCAAAAATACAATGAGATATCATCTCACACCAGTCAGAGTGGGCATCAACAAAAATCCAGAAACAATAAATGCTGGAGAGGGTGTGGAAAAAAGGGAACACTCTTGCACTGCTGGTGAGAGTGTGAATTGGTAGAGCCACCTTGGAGAACAGTATGGAGGTTCCTTAAAAAACTACAAGTATAACTACCATATGACCCAGCAATCCCACTGCTGGGCATAAACCCTGAGAAAACCATTATTCAAAAACAGTCATGTACCAAATTATTAATTGCAGCTCTTTTTACAATAGCCAGGAGATGGAAGCAACCTAAGTGTCCATCATCAGATGAATGGATAAAGAAGATGTGGCACATATATACAATGGAACATTACTCAGCCATGAAAAGAAATGAAACTGAGTTATTTATAGTGAGGTGGATGGACCTAGAGTCTGTTATACAGAGTGATGTAAGTCAGAAAGAGAGAGACAAATACCGTATGCTAACACATATATATGGAATCTAAGAAAAAAAATGTCATGAAGAACCGAGGGGTAAGACAGTAATAAAGACACAGACCTACTAGAGAATGGACTTGAGGATATGGGGAGGGGGAAGGGTAAGCTGTGACAAAATGAGAGAGTGGCATGGACATATATACACTACCAAACGTAAAATAGATAGCTAGTGGGAAGCAGCCACATAGCACAGGGAGATCAGCTCGGTGCTTTGTGACCACCTAGAGGGGTGGGATAGGGAGGGTGGGAGGGAGGGAGATGCAAGAGGGAAGAGATTTGGGAACATATGTATATGTATAACTGATTCACTTTGTTATAAAGCAGAAACTAGCACACCATTGTAAAGCAATTATACTCCAATAAAGATGTAAAAAAAAAGAAAAGTAGTTTAAATATATGTCCATTTTTAAGAACCTCTTCAGTTGTTGGAAGCAGTTGGAAAGAGACTGAAATATATCAGGGGGTTAAGGGTTGAATGAGGTTTTAGTGTGGGGAACACAGAGTGTTAACATATTACTGAAAATAGTGAATGAACCTGGTGCATTTATTCATTGTTTTATGCCTGGAAATATGAGGGGCCACCTTAAAAATCATAAAATAAATAACATCAAACATAATAAACAACTTAGGAATGAATTTAGCCAATAAAACTTCAAGTCTTGTAAACTGAAATTTACAAAATTGAAAGAAATTAAAGACCAAAACACATAGAAATATATCTTTTGTTCACAGATTAAAACACTTAATATTGTTAAAATTCCAATACTCACCAAATTCTTCTATGGAGTCAATGAATTTCCTATCATAGTCCTAGCTCTTTATTATGATTTTGATTACTCTGGTTATTTTAGTGATTATTTTGGTTATTTAAAAAGATGTCTCTGGGCTTCCCTGGTGGTGTAGCGGTTGAGAGTCCACCTGCCGATGCAGGGGACACGGGTTTGTGCCCCGGTCCGGGAAGATCCCACATGCCGCAGAGCGGCTGGGCCTGTGATCCATGGCCTGCACATCCAGAGCCTGTGCTCGCTCCTCAACGGGAGAGGCCACAACAGTGAGAGGCCTGCATACCGCAAAAAAGAAAAAAAAAAGATATCTATGGACTAGTACAGTACTATAATCACCTAAAATTCTTTTCCAAAATTCAGATGTTCTGACCTCATCCAATATCTACTCTATGAAAATCTGTGAAAATGTATCTCAAGCATAGATATGGAGGTTGTTCTGATATCTTAGCATAACCTATTGTCTATCAGGGAAGACAATCACTGAGGACATAATTATAAGTACATTGAATGTTACAAAAAAGAAGCAATGAGTGAACCTATTCCAGCTGGCATGTATTGGATGTGAAGTTAGAAAACTACAGTTTTGGACTAACAATGTTATTTCTCAGACAATATGATACTTAGCAGCAATATATTCTTCCTCATGTTCATCATTATTATCATTCTTGTCATCTTCCTCAAATCTTTCTTTTCCAATTCAGTCCTTGATTCCACTACTCTCCCCGGTTAAGGCCCTCACTATCTCACTATCCATCATCTTGATGACTGCAACTGTCTCCTTGTTTGGGTCCCTCTAATTCATTTTCCACATCTTCCATGGGATTGTTTTCTATTCTTAAACAAAATTTAGGTCTTATTACTCCTCTGCTTAAACTTCAAAAGTTGTTTCCTATTATTCTTAGGATAGAGGGAGCAAGGTTTCCAACATGATATACAAGAGCCTTCATGAGCTGGGGTTACTGAAAAAGACAAAAATTTCAAAAGCTCAAGTAGCTTGTGAATTCTGAGAATGAGTAAGTGTATTACTTCTTCAGGATGTCTCCTGATATTTCCACCCATCCCCAACACATACCAACTCTGTACTCATTTTAGTACTCAGTACACTTGTAATTACTTGTCTGATATCAATCTTGCTGATAACTGTAAGTTCCATTAAGCCAGAGACCCTGTCTATTTTTTTCCTCCTTTATTCCCAATGCCTACGTTAGTATTTTGTCCTTTAATATTTATTTTTTGCTTAAATTTGTGAATGTGTATATTATCTCATTTAAACACTATGAAGTAATTATCACAATTTATAAGTGAAATAACTGAAGGTTAGAGGAATTAAGTAACTTGGCCAAAGGCTCAAATGCAAGTATTTCTTACTCTGGAGCTCAAGTGCTTAACCCCTAAACTAAAGTTTCTAGCCAGAGTGTCATAAATGAGTTTCAGGTCTAATAAGATATTTCTCTGTATGGCTAAGGATACTTAGCCCTTGGGGAGGCCTAGAGGGTTCTGTGCCAAACAAATACCCTTGGGCTTGTTGCCTCTGGCTTAATTTATTTACTTCAATGTGCCATTCATATATCTTATTTTCTATGAATTCATACTGTTAAAAAGATTGAAGAGGGTTGCCTACTATAATAAAATAAGCAAACTTTAGCAAAAAGTAAAATTTTAGCCTATATAAAAATTTACCTTTCATTTCATTATATATATATATATATATATATATATACTTTGGCCTGTTTATGTTCTAGATTGAGATCCTTAGGGGCAGAGAATATTTGTTATATATTTTAAGATTCCTCTTAGTACCTACAACATAGCCTGGCTATAATTCAATTAGAATACTTGTTGGAAGACATGTTAGAATTACAGACATGAAAAGAGCTTTAGCAATTATGAAGTCCAGTGTTTATCAAGTTTTCAACACACTAATGTGCAATTGGTACAAATAAGAGTCATCTTTGTAAGATAAATTACAGTTTTTAAATTAAAATATAATATAATTTAAAATTAAGAATAAGTAACAGTGAGAAAGGTGAAAATTTTTATAGTCTTAAACCGAAGTGTCTATAGTTGGTTTGATGATGGATAGCTTGATTTATAGGTCAGATTCTACAATTTTTCTTTGTTTCTGACAAATTAGAAAACACAAACTCACCATCACAATTTACCAAGAAAACAGCATCAATTACTTAGTGACTATTTTAGATATTTCTGAAGATTTTATTGAGCATAAACTCAGACTTAACTCTCAGGGACTCAGATGAAAGTTGAATGTTTCAACATAGAACATAGAGGTGAGTGGTGCCCTAATTCATTATTTTCTGAAAATAATTTCTTCATGTTTTATTGTAGCACTTGGAAGGGATTTGACCATACTCATTTATTTTTCTAATAAGTGATGAAAACCATCAAGTAGTATGTGACAGTAAATATCTTGCTGATGGAGCTACTTGGATACTAGTTTACCCTTCTTAAGAAAACCCGATATCTCATCTTCAACACTAAAAGTTGTTATCTTTTGGACTGAAAGTGACACATTTAATCTATTCAAAATACTGGGTATTTTCCTGGGCTATACCAGTTAAGAAATTCACTTGATATCATTAAAATTACCATTATTAATGCCATGTTTTTAATCTCATCTTTAATTGTAAAATTTTTGTGAGAAATTTTTTTTCCTCGGCAGCTAGCGTACTTCAATGTGGAAAATCAGACTCTTCTAACTGCTGTTCATTTATTCACACAGCAAATTGACAAGACATACACTCAATGGTCATAATTTGAACATGTTTACAATTTTCACCATTCACTATGTCATTCAAAGCTGAATCAGAAATAAGAGGTAAGTAGCTGACTACCAAATATTCTCTGTGAATAAAGCAGTTTGCCTACTGGCATTCAAAGGAAACCCTCTTGTGTGCTTCCTTGCTACAAAAAGTTGGCTCTCTATAAATACTAATATCAGCAACATTTTCAGTCTGTACAAGAGCTCACTAAAAACTAACAAACAAAATAAAATCAGTAACTGAATAAACCCCAACAATAAAAAAAATATCTTCTTACTCTGCATTAGGTTTTCAATCACAAACAAAATGTCATACTGCACTTCTGTATCATATATGCATCAACTTATACTAAGAATTGATCCAGACTCTGCACACCAGTAGATTTGTTCAATTATAAAGAAGAATAATGCAAAAGCACACAGAAGATTGTGAGTGATCTTCCATATCACATGCCATCATCCAACAGTGACCAAATTTTAAAGAGGGTTTGCCATGTACTCATTCTGCTTTCTCTTTGAGACTATTATCTTATATTAACATTGCAGCTGTTTTTTTTTTTCCTGGTAATAGTATCATCTATTATTGTTATGTATATTTCATCTTTGAATAATCTCTTTTTACTTTTTTTTTCTTTTTTTTTAACATCCTTATTGGAGTATAATTGCTTTCCAATGGTGTGTTAGTTTCTGCTTTATAAGAAAGTGACTCAGTTATACATATACATATGTTCCCAAATCTCTTCCCTCTTGCATCTCCCTCTCTCCCACCCTCCCTATCCCACCCCTCTAGGTGGTCACAAACCACCGAATTGATCTCCCTGTGCTATGAGGCTGCTTCCCACTAGCTATCTATTTTACGTTTGGTAGTATATATATGTCCATGCCACTCTCTCATTTTGTCACAGCTTCCCCTTCCCCTCCCCCATATCCTCAAGTCCATTCTCTAGTAGGTCTGTGTCTTTATTCCCATCTTACCTCTAGGTTCTTCACGACCTTTTTTTTTATTATTAGATTCCATATATATGTGTTAGCATACAGTATTTGTTTTTCTCTTTCTGACTTACTTCACGCTGTATGACAGACTCTAGGTACATCCACCTCACTACAAATAATACTCAGCCATAAAAAGAAACTAAATTGAGTGTCCTTTACCTTATGATCTCTAAATTTACAGAAAAAATGTACTTCAAGGTAATGTTTTGCATGTGTTTTGGGAATATGTGATTGGTTTACTAGGGAGATTATAGTGCTTTATTTGAAAATTGTGCAAAATCTTGTATGGCTTCATGCCACCACTTTACAAAATTTTATAACTACACACTGAGAAATGAGAAAGAATGTATTACCAGTTCAATAAAATACAATTTTTGGATATCCATATAGTTTTCTGGTCACACTTTTCTTTTACAACTGCTTGAGTGGTATCAATACACATATACTTTTTCCAAACAGTACAGTTTTCAGTTTTAGATTTATATTGTAGTCCTGTTTATTATTTACACTCAAGTCATTATACTGAGTTGTAAATTTATGTTACTATCTGTGTTCTTACTTGTATAATTTTCCTATTGCTATTGTAACAAATTATCACAAAATTGTTAGATTAAAAGAACACAAATGTTTGTTTGGAGAGATATGTTTTGGAGATCAAAAGTCTGAACTGAGTCTTACGAGGCTAAAATCAAGATGCTGGCAGTGTTAAATTTCTTTCTGGAGTATCTAGGGGAAAATCTGTTCCCTTGCCCTTTGCAGTTTCTAGAAGTCACTCACATTCCTTGGCTCATAACTGTCCATTTTCAGAGCCAGCAGCATCAGGCCAAGTCCTTCTCACACTACCAACTCTCTTGTTCTACTTCTGCCTCCATCTTCCACTTATAAGAGCCCTTGTGATTACATTGGATCCACATAGATGATTTAGGATAATCTCTCAAAGTCAGCGAATTAACAACTTTAAGTCCAACTGGGACTTAAACTTAATTTGACCTTGAAACATTAGGAAGGAAATATTGAGTTCTAAGTGTAGAACAGAATTTTTTTTCATTGAGGAAGGACTGTTCCAGTCCTAAGAAATAGTATTTTCTGTCTCAAGACTAACAGTGGGAAAACATTAAAGAGTTTTTAGCAGGGAGGCAGGGAGGTGACATGACCATCTTTGTGCTATGCAACAATTGTTCTGGCAGCAGTGTGAAGAATGTTTTGGAAGGGGCCAAAGGTAGAAGCAAGGAGACCAGGCAAGAGATGACAATAGCTTAGACTAGGGTGCTGGTGAAGGTGAGAAGTGGAGGACACAGTAGTGGAGTCTAGAAATAAACCCATATTTGACAACTCATATTTTACAGCTAATATTTGACAAGAATACTCAGTGGGATAAAAATTGTTGCTTCAGTAAATGGTGTTGGGAAAACTGGGCATGCAAAAGAATGAAACTGGACATTACACCACTCACTCAAACTACCTTGAAATGGATCAAAGACTTAAATATAATACCAGAAACCATTAAAATCATGGAAGAAACATAGGGAAAAAGCTTCCTGACATTGCTCTTGGCAATGACTTTATGAATGTGACACTGAAAGCACAAGAAAAGGAAAACTAAACAAGTGTGTCGACATTAAATGGAAAATCTCCTGCACAACAAAAGAAACAATCAACAAAATGAAAAGGCAACCTACAGAATGGGAGAAAATATTTGCCATCTATCTATCTGATAAGGAATTTATATTCAAAATATAAAATAACTCATGCAACTCAATAGTCAATAAATAATCTGATTAAAAACTAGACAGAAGACCTGAATAGACATTTTTTTCCCATAGAACATCTACAAATAGCTACCAAGTACATGAAAAGGTACTCAACATTACTAATCATCAGGGAAATGCAAATCAAAACTGTAATGATATATCCCTTCACACTTGTTAGAATGGTTATTATCAAAAAGAGAGTAGTTAACAAGTGTTGGCAAGGATGTGGAGAAAAGAGTACCCTTGTACACTCTTGGTGAGAATGTAAATTGGTACAGACATTATGGAAAAGAGTACAGATGTTCATCAAGAACTTAAAAATAGAATTGCCATATGATTCAGCAATTCCACATCTGGGTATATATCCAAAGGAAATAAAACCACTATCTTGAAGAGATATCTGCAACCACATGTTCACTGCAGCATTATTTATAATAGTCAAGACATAGAAATGACCTATGTCTGTTATGAATTAATGGATAAAGGATATGTGAGATATATATATAAAAAACACTAATTAAATACATATTAATATAAATTATATATTTAATATAAATTAAATATATATTTAAATTTAATAAACAAAACTCCATTAGAGTTGGGAGACCAGAAAGGGAAGCTCTCATACACTGAAAAGATAAAAGAACCCAACAGGAAGAAGAAAGACTTTTTTTTCCTGGCAAGGACTCAGCCAAAGAAAAGCCACAGACTTTTTGTTTACTACAGCCCTCCCAACATTTCTTCCTCTCTATAAAAATGTTCTCCATTCCTTTGGGGTTTTTTTGTTTTGTTTTTTTTACATCTTTATTGGAGTATAATTGCTTTACAATGGTGTGCTAGTTTCTGCTTTATAACAAAGTGAATCAGTTATACATATACATATGTTCCCATATCTCTTCCCTCTTCTGTCTCCCACCCTCCCACCCTCCCTATCCCACCCCTGTAGGTGGTCACAAAGCACCGAGTTGATCTCCCTGTGCTATGCGGCTTCTTCCCACTAGCTACCTATTTTAAGTTTGGAAGTGTATATATGTCCATGCCACTCTCTCACTTTGTCACAGCTTATCCTTTCCCCTCCCCATATCCTCAGGTCCATTCTCTGGTAGGTCTTTGTCTTTATTCCTGTCTTACCCCTAGGTTCTTCATGACATTTTTTTTCTTAGATTCCATATATATGTGTTAGCATATGGTATTTGTCTTTCTCTTTCTGACTTACTTCACTCTGTATGACAGACTCTAGGTCCATCCACCTAATTACAAATAACTCAATTTCGTTTCTTTTTATGGCTGAGTAATATTCCATTGTATATATGTGCCACATCTTCTTTATCCATTCATCTGATGATGGACACTTAGGTTGTATCCATCTCCTGGATATTGTAAATAGAGCTGCAATGAACATTTTGTTACATAACTCTTTTTTTTTTAACATCTTTATTGGGGTATAATTGCTTTACAATGGTGTGTTAGTTTCTGCTTTATAACAAAGTGAATCAGTTATACATATACATATGTTCCCATATGTCTTCCCTCTTGTGTCTCCCTCCCTCCCACCCTCCCTATCCCACCCCTCCAGGCTGTCACAAAGCACCGAGCCAATATCCCTGTGCCATGCGGCTGCTTCCCACTAGCTATCTACCCTACGTTTGTTAGCGTATATATGTCCATGACTCTCTCTCGCCCCGTCACAGCTCACCCTTCCCCCTCCCCATATCCTCAAGTCCGTTCTCCAGTAGATCTGCGTCTTTATTCCTGTCTTAACCCTAGGTTCTTCCTGACATTTTTTTTCTTATATTCCATATATATGTGTTAGCATACGGTATTTGTCTTTCTCTTCCTGACTTACTTCACTCTGTATGAAAGACTCTAGGTCTATCCACCTCATTACAAATAGCGCAATTTCGTTTCCTTTTATGGCTGAGTAATATTCCATTGTATATATGTGCCACATCTTCTTTATCCATTCATCCGATGATGGACACTTAGGTTGTTTCCATCTCCGGGCTATTGTAAATAGAGCTGCAATGAACATTTTGGTACATGACTCTTTTTGAATTTTGGTTTTCTCAGGGTATATGCCCAGTAGTGGGATTTCTGGGTCATATGGTAGTTCTATTTGTAGTTTTTTAAGGAACTTCCATACTGTTCTCCACAGTGGCTGTATCAATTTACATTCCCACCAACAGTGTAAGAGGCTTCCCTTTTCTCCACACCCTCTCCAGCATTTATTGTTTCTACCTTCAAATCACCCATACTAATTTTCTCACGAAACTTCCACTTTTCTCTCAAACTCTCCCCATTCCCTTTTCCTCTGAACTTGTCGAAACCTAGTCCTTTAAAATTAAAACTTTGGAGGATCCAGAGGCTAAACCCTTCATTTCTTATACTCTCTCTCCCAGTAGTGGGAT